ATCTTTGTTGCCTTTACTTTTTTCTCTTTCCCTTTAAAGGAGAAAAGGAAGAAAGAACAAAGTTCGAAAAGCCCAGAGAGAATGAGTAACATTTTTCTTTCAATGAGACAAGGTGATCTTATTTTGCAAGATTTATATAAAGAAGAAGAAGAAAGAGAGAAAATAAACAAAGGAAAAGAAAAATAAAATAAAACAAAAAAAATTCCCACAAAAACCAGACGGAAAAAGACTAACCACGAAGGGATTCGAACCCTCAATCTTCTGATCCGAAGTCAGACGCCTTATCCGTTAGGCCACGTGGTCTTCACGGTTTGGGATTTTCTATAATATATAGGAAGTAGTATACTGAATAGAGAACCTTTTTGTCCAAGCCCGAATTTTAAAAAAGTTATTTAATAAAATGAGAACCAAGACCTGTCATGTAAAGGTATAAGATTCCAATGATGAATGTAGCTGCACTGTATACCTAAAATGTACCAATAAACTCAATGAGGAAAAAAAACCCCCACAATAGATACTCTAAGAAAAAAAAGTTATTTAATAATAACAAGAAGGCAGTGACACCCGACCTCTATATCTTTCATTATCGGAAAAATGGAAACTGTAGGTGACGTGGGTTATTTGGGATCCCGGATGCGAGATTTCTGAGAGGTCGGATTGACAATTTTTTCGGTTCCGTGGTCTCGCTGTTTCAGAGAGAAAAATTGTTTGCTGTATGATTTTCAGCAGCAGAAATAGTGTAGTTTATATGCTCTAAAAAATGCCAAAATATTACATATTGGCTGGATCCGAGGGACATTTTTCAAGCTTTTCAGAGTCCCTGCCCTGCGCAGGCTTACTAGGTGCAATGTCACAGACTCCAGGAGCGACGACTTGGGCCGCACGGTTGCCAAGGAAACCGCTGCGGCAGTTTCACCAGAGAAACGTCAGAGCCTTTGTGCTTGGGTGCCAGCAGACCCCAGGCTAAAGCGGGGTCTTTCCCTGGTTGTTACAATGTGGCATCCAAGCACTTTTCAGTAAATTCCTGTCTGTTTAAAAAAGAAAAGGGGTGTAAGAGAGGTCCAGGGCCATTAGTATATTCGGAGGCTTCCTTTTATTAAGAAGTGAAGAAACAGGAAACAAAATTTTTTTTTGTAGATTGTTGAGAATTTTTACAATGAATTATTGAAACAGTACAAAAACAAGAGACAATAAAATAATCCTATGAAGAAAGAGTTTTGACAGGATGTACAGTGCTCTGCAGAGAGCTAATTCCGTAGCAGGATATAGATCTAAAATTGTTTTGGGTGACTTTAGTTGTTTTTGTTTTGGACAGAGTCTCACTGTGTACTCCGGGCTGGCTTCTTTTAAGCCTCTCAATGAATCTTTGTGACCTTGTGCATTGTGTCTGAAGATAAAGTAAGCAGTCTGTACATAGATTGTTTTCTTACTTTTCTATATTGCAGGCGCTGAAAGCAATGCCTCTTCTCCTTCATTTTTTTTAGGACTTGGCTTTTCTGGATTAGTAGAAAAGACATTTCTGGAACCAAGGAGTGGGACCTTAAGTAGCTTTTCTTTCCTTGTCCACAGAGTAGCACCTAGCAAATAGGAGAAAAAAATTGCTGAATTCTTCATATACATATTCTAGAATTCTATAATCATTATTAAAGTAAATTAAGTAAAAAAGAGTCCTATTCTGCAAAAAAATGTGAAAACAGACTTCTTGTTCTCTCTTCCTGGATACAGAGAGTGGTTGAAGAACTATATGCAATATTCTCATGATACATGATGTCATTTTTGGCTAAACCATCATGTGTAATGGTGAAAGAAGTGAAAAGTAGTAAGATCCTGGATATTTTTTGAAAAGCTTGAAATTGGATTTGACATTTGAGAGAAACAGAAGTCATACACTACTCCATGATTTTTTTTTTCTTCCTGTAATGACAACATTTCCACTGCCAGGAATGGACATGAAGGCAGAAGGAGGATTTGGCAGGTGAAGTATGTATGTGTGTATTAAGACTCCTTTAAGTTGTGTATAACATTTCAGCAGCGATGACCAATAGAAGTCATTCCAAACCTCCCTTCTCTCAATTTAGAAGGGAAATTATTTCTTGAAAGATAAACTAATCAAAGACCAAATCACAAATACATGTAAGAACTTCATAGAATTTTTGTAACAAGAGAATCTGATCATATTCTTTGTTCACAATTGTTTGGTATTTTCCTATTGCCTATGGAAAAATAAAATCAAATTGCATTGCATATTGACTTCCTTAATGAGCTGCCCTTTCTCTGTCGGGTCTGCCATAAATCCAGAATGTACTGCACAATCTGAAATTTCTAGTGCTTTCTTGACACCTTTGACCCTTGCAGGGGCTCCATTTCTGAGTCTTGCTAGATATGTCCCTCATGAACAGAGAAAGCTCCCAATGGGGTGTGTCCCCTTGTGAGCCGGACAGGCTGCATCCCACTCAGTTATCAACATAATAGCCTTCATTTCTCTGCTAGCTCCTGAATCCCCAGCCTCCCATTACCACAAAGGCTACCTCTCAAGGGAGATTTTTCTGCTTTTCATTGCAGCTGCTCAATTGTCTTCATGGCATGCATTGCCCTTTTCTTCCTGGCTTTCTGTATTTATGACCAATGTATTGCTACCAATCTCTTCTACCCCATATTAGAGATGAGGCCTGTGGTTCACTGAGTGTATGAATAAGAACTGATCCCAACACAGCCACGTTTCACTTCAAATTCCTTTCCGTCATGCAACCTCTCTTACCTCCATACTCCATTTCACTGAAATATTTATAGTTCCTTATAAACTCTAGCAAATATTTGTTCAAGTTTTGGCTCAAAACTTGCCACCATTTATGAAGGAGACAATTGCCAGAGCATAGTTAATGCAGCAAAGCTCTTTTATTCACTTTGCACTTAACTCTGCAGATAAGTACCACTGTGAGGACCCTTGACTGCACCTTGAAAAGTAAAACTCTGGAATGTTCACATGTACCAAGTAATGATGCTATTCTATAACCCTGAAGCACCAAATCACTATGAATAAGGTTGTCAGTGTTTTAAAAGTAAACATAAAGATTCATGATGTGTGCCTGGTTCTTGGTTAAGGGTGCACTCCATCACTGGTCCCATTAGCAACTCTGACTCCGTATTCAAGTGGACTTTGCTTGACAAACACAGATGACACATAGATCACAGCTCAAGAGAAACAGAATGTGTGTTGTCACTGAAGAATGGAAAGGAAGCGTTCTCTAGCCTTCACCTGTATATATCTGTTTCCTGCATTTCTTGCATTGTATCCTCTGCTGCAATAAATGTTGAACTGTGCATATATGTCGAGTTATATAAATACCTCCCAAATCAGTGGTGGTCATGACTATGATCACCAATTTCTTTTTATTTTCACTGCATTTAGCGGGTGCTCCTTTTAAAGAAATAGTGCTATACTTAAAATATTTACTTGTTTTAAAAGCATATGTAGACTGCAGGCGATTTCATTTCATCTTAGCTTCGATCACAGTATCTGACTCATAAGTGTCAGAATAGAAGTTCTTTGGTGGGGCAGAGAACAGTAACATTCACATAAGCACAGAGAATAGTTCTATAGGAGATTTTACAGCAGGGTAGATATTAGAGAGAGACACATTTATTTATCACACTTGTCTCAAATTGCCCATTTTCTCCCAAAACTGAGACAGTTGTAGTTGCAAATAATATGTACAGGGAACTGCCCATTAGAGTGCTAATCAACTTAGCCACTTGGCAAGTAATGCTTTCTGAATTATGTATAAAAGGAAATAAAACTCGATTCCTGGGTTTATCTCCTACCCTCCCTCCTCCTTGCCACTCAGCTGATTTCAGCTTCACAGGGAAACATAGAATTGTGATAACGGGCATACAAAGGTGGGATAGCCATTTTGGTAAAGAGAAGAAATCTGGCTTACTGAGAGGACAAATTAATACTTAGGATTCCATGAAAAGTGCAGACCCTCTACTTCTACATGTAGTTTTCAGAAGCTGTTTCAATTCTGGGATTTTTTTTCTGAACTATTTGGACGCAGTTTGTTTTCGTAAAGTAAGCGATATGATTCTAGTTAAATCTATCTAAAGATTAAGATCAAAAGCAAATGTAAATAATTTAGCAGAGGATGGTTTCGATCCATCGACCTCTGGGTTATGGGCCCAGCACGCTTCCGCTGCGCCACTCTGCTGCTTAGAAAAGAAATGTTGCTAATAATGTACTTAACTATTCCTTGAATGCACTGAACTGTTCCTGACTAATATTCAAGCTCCCACACACTAACCAGTGGGAAGACGCCTTTTTACTTGGAGACCAAAGGACGCGTATTGTTTGCAAAGTCGTTGGCAGCATCAAAAAGAAAACAAAAGTTAAACCCAAACATCATCACTCGTGAATTGTTGGCACAGACGTGAAGGGAGACTGGATACCTAAATGGAAATTGCACATTTTAACAAAGGGAAAGAAAAGACGCTGGGAACGGAACTTGGACCTCTGCGCAGCGGGCGAGAATACTGATACGGAGTCAATAACCAACTATAGATTTGTCTTCTGAAAGAAAATTCGACGCTTTGGGGAGAGGGAATATGGCAGTTTTCCAATTTCTCCCCGGAGGCTTTTCGGTCTCTAACAGCAATGAGCGGAACGGGAGCGCAAAACTTTCCTCTTTCTTTCAACCGAGGTTGCAGAACGCAGCTCTGCTGCAGTCGTCCTACACTGACCAAAGCAGAGAATGACAATTAAGAAAGGTTAATTGTCTTAGTGACAAAGGTGGGAAAGCCCCTCTTCCGGCAGAGAGGATTGGTAGGCAGGACTTCCGCAGAGAGCTCCTCTGGGAGCAGGATCCGGGTTATCGGTGACGTCACCAGGCGGGCTGCTGGGCGGGACAAAAAGTTCGCGCGCGGGGTGTAGTCTTCAATTAGGTCCGCAACCCATGCATATAAGCTGTATTGCCAGTTTGCATCGTTTTCCAGAAGTCTGTCGGTAGAGGTTGAATCATGTCTGGTCGCGGTAAGGGAGGCAAGGGCCTTGGTAAAGGTGGCGCTAAGCGCCACCGCAAGGTTCTGCGCGACAACATTCAGGGCATTACTAAGCCCGCCATCCGCCGCCTGGCCAGGCGCGGCGGCGTGAAGCGCATCTCCGGTCTCATCTACGAGGAGACGCGCGGGGTGCTGAAGGTCTTCCTGGAGAACGTGATCCGCGACGCCGTCACCTACACGGAGCACGCCAAGCGCAAGACGGTCACGGCCATGGACGTGGTCTACGCGCTCAAGCGCCAGGGACGCACCCTCTATGGCTTCGGCGGTTAAGATCTTGTCCGCTACCAAAGCCTTTTACCACCAACCAAAGGCCCTTTTCAGGGCCGCCCACGTTTTCCTTTAAAAGAGCTAACATTTGTCTCGTTTGTCTGGTTCTTAACCCATAAAACTCCCATGCTGGATGGGTTTCGGTGCTATTTTCTCGGACCTAATCTGTACATTTAAAGAGGCGGAGATAGTTTGCACCTAGTTCTTGACAGAGTTGCTCCCATCCGTGCAGTCCCTCTGCGGATAAGCATGTCGCTGCTAGGGGCCGGGCGAGTCCTCTCCCGCAATGCCGCACTCAAGATGGCTGCAGGAAGACGGGATGGCGGGAGCCAGGAACAAAGCTCTGGGCTTCCGCGGTGACTAGGGCTTTGGAGAGGAGTATTGAGCTTTGCACAGCCTGGGGGCGCCTCAGGCAATTTGTGTTTCCGTTAGAGTATTATAAGAAGGTGTTAATGAAGTAGCGATATCATTTTAAAAGAAGCATTCATTCAAACAGTGCAATTCTCCCAAGTTAAATACTGCACTGAGCCTTCACATTTCATACAGCGAACAAAAATTCTATTACTTGCCCAAATCTTGAAGGTGTCCCGAAATGTCACCCGTTTGGCTTAGACATCCACTTAAGATATTTGTTCAAATTTCTTGATCTAAAGTCTCCCCTCCATCTTTTGACGCTAATATACAAGAGAAACCTGTAGTGTTCTTTGGTTTGTTTCCTGATGGGATAATTTCATTTAGTTCATATTCTCAGTATGCTATATAGAGCAGAAATGGTTTCCCTAATTTTAGTCAAATTCAGGTCGATATGCTTGTCAGAAACATCAGGGTTGCATGATGTTTGTCTTATCCAAATTTAATATGATGCTCAATTAATTGTTGGCTTAGCAATAGTTCTGTTGTAAAATCAACCTTTTGTTTGTGACCATCAAGTAATCTGTAGAGTGATACATTGAATTAGAAGAACTAATAGAATTATTTTAAGTTTCGCCTGAAATATCTGAATTTTTTGGGTGTGTGTGTTTGTGTACATGTGCGTGTATGTTGAGACAGGGTCTTATGTAGCCCAGGCTGGCCTTGAACCCTTTGTGATCCTCCTGCCTCAGCCTCCTGAGTGCTCGGGTTGCAATTGTGCAACAATACACCTGGCTATAATTGTGTGTAAATATGAAAAGAATCACATATCATTAGAGCTGAGGCACTGATTTGAGGAGAAAAACTCATGTGAATGTAATTTTAACAAGCAAAAAAAAATTTTTTTTGTCCATAGTATATGCCAGCCATGTTTCTATGCTGTGGGAACTGCAGTAGTGAATGACAGTGAACAAAGGAATATTTTGGTATTCACTTATGGAGGTGAATTGTAATAATAGATTCTGGTTGCACAATGTAAGTTAATTATAGTATGTCATGTGGTACTAAGTGCTATCATTACTGATGCAAGAAAAAGTAAATTTTGTGATAGGAAATATTGTGGTTTTTACCTGTGTGAAGCGTGAGGGCTTAGGTGTTGCATACTTAACAATTTGGGGTGAAATGTACCAATGTTTTTATGTATACTTAGAAAAATGCTACCAAATGCTATGTATGTAGCTGATGTTTAAGGCTGGCCTTGAACTCTTGGTGATCCTCCTGCCTCAACTTCCCGAGAGACAGAATCTAATTTATATTTAAAAATGATCTAGCCGGGCTTGGTGGTGCACGCCTGTGATCCTAGCACTCGGGAGGCCGAGGCAGGAGAGGATTGGTGTGAGTTTGAGACCAGCCTGGGCTATAAAGTGAGTGCCGGGTCAGTCTCAACTACATAGTGAGACGCTGATAGCACCAGAGTAGGGGTGAGGAGATCACACTGGAGGCTACAAAAATAGTTGAGATGAAATGGCTTGAACCAAAGTGCTGGTGGTAGAGGTTGTAAAAAGTGGTTGAACCCTGCATGTATTTTGAAAGGAAGGCTTTAGACTTTTTTTTTTTTTTTTTTT